TGGGCCAATTTTGATAAAGGCCCAGCTTCACAAGCGGGCCAAGTCAAATCAGCTACCACCCCACAAGCCAAAATATTAGGCTGAAACGGCATCTGAATAAGTTAGGCACAATCCCAAAAGATGCCATTTTAGGGAATATTCCACCCCAAAAATCCCAATCCAATCTAAAAAAATGGAATTTAAGATTCCACCCCTCCTGACTCTAGTCCCTCCAAATTGGGTACTCTTACACATAAAGAGAGAATCTCCTTTGTGGAAAGGGATCATTTGTCAGTGCTACCCCAGCCCAAAATGGCCCACACTTCGCCGAAAGGCCACTATACTGTGCCTACACACACAATCCACCCTCAACTATTCCCTGATCTTGCCTCTTCTAGTAAAGGTAATCAAATACTTGTTACAAATCCAATGCCCAATACTATCAATAAGGTGACACTCCTTGTCAATCCCTCAAGATTAATTGTAGAAGGCAAATCGCCTCACATGAAACCCAAAGAGGAGATGGATTATAACAATGTTTCTCCCTTCTCTGTCATTAGTCAAAGTCACACCAACAATCTCCTCCACATTGACCCTTCAGATGGAGAACAACTCTACCTCTTCTCAAGCATAAACCATAACCCCGCTAACCATCTCCACCACCCCACTACCATCGGAGCTCATGCCGGAATCATGGTTGGAGATGCACCTCCAAAGACATGCCCAGAACCTCCAAATAATGGTAGGGTCTATCCCGATGGAAATAACTGTCCAAAAGCCCAGATACTTTGCTCGCCTGGCGACTCAACACCTCCACCAGGGTCCGGCAAATTTAGGGCACCAATTATAGATGTCCGCATTACTCCACGCCCAGTACATAGGGAACCAACAATGCCTTGACACTGGACCCTCTACTTGGACGAAATCAACCATGCCTTTTTCCCCCCTCATGATTCTGTAAACTCTAGTCTCATCTCCATCCTTCCAACTTTGGCCACCAATAGTCCAAATTCCCCAGCCAACACCCCAACCACTGTCACCCATCGAATTGCTAAGCATGGGCATTACCATGGCATTGGACTATCTCAGGGAGTCCAATGTGGACCTGGAGAATATGCTATAAAAACTAGGGGTGCCAAAGACAAAGGCTTTCCTCATGCAGGAACCCCTGGAGATAGAATTCAAAGAGCAGTCAGGCAAAATGCTTATTGCTCTATGCCCCAAAGAACTCATAAGCTTCAAACTCAATCTCCGAGTGCCCTCATTTATAAAATCAAAAAACTCAGTAGTGACACTGGTCCCTCTAGTGGGTATGTTGAAGCCAACCCCAGTTAGCAAGGGGAAGGGACTCAAAAGGAAGGCTCCAATCTAAAACCCCATATTAATGAATTTCATAATATGAAATGCTAGAGGGACCAATAGTGTTGAGTTCTGTAGGCATTGTACATCTTTGGTGAAGCTCCATAACCCTGCCATGCTTGTCTTGCTGGATACTATAATGGCAGACCACAAGCATCTCATTGCTGAGCCTAAATTTGATGCTCAATTCGAGTCCCCTGTTGTAGGCCAGTATGGTGGGATTGTACTTATATGGAAAGATGAGCTGGTTAAGCTAGGCCACTGCTCCATAGGGGATGCATGTTATGGTTAAAGTACCCCCTCCTCCTCTAAATGACAATTTTCTACTATATATGCTAGTAACTGTGTTAACAATAGAAATAGACTTTGGAATACACTAGAGGACCTGGCATCTGTGTATAGGGGTAGTTGGCTTGTTGAGGAAGACTTTAAGGAGCTCCTAAAATCCAGGGATAAGTTTGGGGGTAATAACTTAAACACTAATAGAAGAAACAGGTTCTGAAAATGCTTGAACAGTTATAAGTTAGTTGATCTAGGGTTCAAAGATTCAAAATACACTTGGTCTAATAAAAGATACACCAACATGCAAGATCTGATTCTAGAAAGACTTGATAGGTACTTTGCCATTGATAATTGTATAGAAGAATTTCCTGATTCTACTGTTACCCATCTGCCTATGACACACTCTGACCGCTGTCCTCTTCTCTTAAGCTTAATCTATTAGAGTCAAAACAGGGCCAAGAAGCATTTTAAGTTTGAGTCTATATGGTGCAATCACCATGATTTCCTTCCAATTGTGCAAGATAGCTTTGCAACAAATACTAATATATTGAGAGCTACTACTATTTTTACTAATAGAGTGGCTGATTGGAATAAACATGTATTTGGAAACATCTTCCATAGGAAAAGGCAGATCCTTGCTAGACTAGCTGGCATCCAGAAGTCAAATGCACATCCCTTTAGTACCTTCCTCCAGGACCTAGAAGCCAACTCCAACAGGATTTCTCTGTTATTCTTAAGAGTGAATAGGACTTTTGGAAGCTTAAGTCTATAATCAATTGGTTAAGTAAGGGTGATGCCAACACTAAATTCTTTCACATATCCACACTTAATAGAAGAAAGAGGGACGGGATCATGTCTTTAAAAGATGAGTTAGGGAACAATATCCATGATCCCCAAGACATTAAAGACACAATCCTTAACTACTTCACTAAGATTTATGCCGCTGGCCATCAATGCTCAAACTTAAACAATAACCACATTACTGATAGAGTTAATGTCCTGTCTACCAGGGAGCATAACATCATTGCCTCTCCACTTAGGCTCTTTGAGATCAAGTGTGCCTTATTCTCCTTCAAGGACATGAAGGCACCCGGACCTGATGGACTCCACCCTCTTTTCTATCAGAAGTACTGGCATATTCTTTCTGGTAAAGTCATCCAATACTGCCACATTGTCTTCTCCACTTGTACAAAACCTCCTGAAATAAACAAAACCAACCTCTGCCTCATTCCTAAGTGCCCTAATGCCACCATGCTGAAAAACTTCAGGCCAATCGATTTGTGCAACACTATGTGTAAGCTGATCACCAAGATCATTGTCAATAGAATCAAACCTTTGCTGCAACATATCATTAGTCCAACTCAAGATAGTTTTTTAGCTAATAGAAGTGATGCTGACAATGCCATTGTGATACAAGAGTACATTACCCATTTCCAAAATATAAAAGGGAAGAATGCCAATATGATCCTAAAAGTGGACTTAAAAGGGGACTTTGACACGTTAGAGTGGTCTTTCAACAGAGAATCCCTCCTTTTCTTTAACTTCCCCAACAAATTAACCACTTTAATCATGTCTTGTCTTACTACAAGCTCCATCTCCATTCTTGTTAATGGTACTCAGACTAAATACTTATAGCCTAGTAGAGGCATTAGGCAGGGGGATCTCATCTCACCCTACTTGTTCATCATATGTATGGAAAGGCTTTCCAGAAATACTAACATTGTTGTTGCCGACAAGGAATGGTTCTCTATCAGCATCAGCAGGGGAGGGCCTAGGATCTCCCATATATTCTTTGCTGATGACTCACTATATTTTACAAAGCCAATAGGAGAAATTGTGAGAAAATCTTATCCATCCTGGATAATTTCAATGCTGCCTCTCGGCAGAAATTTAACTTTCAGAAATCTAAGGTGATCTTTTCTTCCAACTATCAGAAGGTGTGTGCCACAACTTGCAGTACCACTCTAGGTATCAAGGGTGCCAAAGACTTTGTTAAATATCTAGATTTCCCTATCTTCCATAGAAGGCCTACAAATAGTGACTTCCAATTCATTCTGGATAATCTCAACAGTAGGATGGCAGGTTGAAAAATCAAGTTCCTTAACATGGCTGGACGCACCACTCTGGCCAAATCTTGCCTAAGTAGTATTCCCAACAATGTAATGCAATACATCCAATTGCCTTCCTATATTACCAACCAAATTGACAAAATTTAAAGAAACTTTATCTGGGGAACAACCCCGGCCAAAAGGAAACTCCACATGATTAAGCGGGCCACTGTCACCAAACCAAAGGACAAGGGAGGACCAGGCCTCCAACATGCCTATCTTAAGAACAAAACTTGCCATACCAGCCTAGTTTGGAGACTCTATAATAACACTAACTCCATTCGGGCTAGGGTGCTTATGGGAAATCACTGCAGTGGAGGAGAAAACAGGGCTAAGGCTAAAACTAGAACATGAAAATGTGTTTAGGAGGGCTGGAAGATATGCATTAATTGCACTAGATGGGTGATTCACACAGGGGATAGAGTTTGATTCCTCACTGACACATGGCTCCCAAAACGCAACCATTAGATACAATCCTTAGAGGTCCATGTCACCACAATGATTTGAACACCAAGATAAATGTAGTGTACTCCAATGGAGTATGGGATTTCACCTCCATTAGCTACCCAATCCCTTATGACATTAACATCATAATCTAAAACACCTTCATCCCTACCTCTACCTCAGCCGAGGACAAGCTCATCTGGAACCTTAACTCCAATAGGTTGTTTAGTGCCATATCTGCCTAGTCCTTCATTGATGCACACATGCATAATGACACTTCACATGAAGACTACTTCAGTTGGATTTGGAAATTTAAGACCCCAAATAAGATTAAGTTCTTTATATGGCTCATGCAGCAGAACAAGCTCCCTATAGGGAACCGCTTATACCACATAGGCCTGAGAATAAATCCAAATGGCTATTTTTGTGATTCTGGAGTAGAAGACATAAACCATATCTTCTTTGAATGTACAAATGTTAAGGAGTTCTGGCAACAATTGCAGCACCTGTGGAACCATAGGCCAAACCTTAGTGTACCTTCCTTTTCTATGGCAAACTGAGAAGACACATGGCATAAGTTTCAAAATGTTGATTACAATGCTTGCATCAGTTGAAAACAACTACTGCCCTTCTGCCTTTGTGCCATCTACCTCACCACGAACTCTAATGTCTTTGAGAAGAAAAGGAATCACATTAATGTGCACCAAATAATTGCTAAAGCTGTTGAATACCATCACGTTGCTGTCACACATAGACTTGCTATAACCACTAGCACTTTATACCTGAAGTGGCAACCAACAGATAAGGGCTTTTATAAGTTGAACATCGATGGGGATGCATGCCTTAATGCAAGAAAAGCGGGTATTGGAAGGGGGAGGAGTATTCAGAAACAATAGGGGTGACTGGGTTTTAGGCTTCACGAAAGGGCTCCCAAACACTGATAGCCTAAGGGCTGAATTTCAAGACCTATGGATGGGGCCAAAAATAACACTCGGACAAGGCTTGTCACTCCTTGTGATAGACACTAACTCTGAAATGGTGCTGAAAATGTTGAAACATAGTAATTTGACTCACAATCCCATAATTTCTGAATGCAGGTATCTGATGGAGCAGCTGTGGAAACCAGTCATAGACCATAGCTATAGGGAGCAGAATCAAGTGGCGTACCTTCTCGCAAAGGAAGGAGCTAGGAAGGAGGTTTTTTGAAAGGACCCAATTTTTGGCGGTTCCTCCGGTGTTTGCAAATGATGCAGTGTGGCCAGACATCTTAAGAACTGTATTTGAAAGGAAAACTAATGTTTGTAATATTAAAACAATGGTAGACATTGATGACAATCCCCAGGGGACCCATCCGTATATAAATATAAATATGCAGTTAACCAAAAAACAAAAAGAGGCAAAATCTCGTTCCACTGTTTGTGGATATAAGTTATATCAATGTAATAACATTAATCTCATTATAATTATTGTCATTACTCATTATTGGCCGTTGTTGAGTACTCTCTCTTCTTTATCCATTTCCCTCCCCTATTTTTAATTAAAGAATTAAAACCTTTACTTCATCCCAATTTAAACCAAGGATATAAGGACACTTTTTATTAAAAGTATTGCTGTTTAACTGTGCAATATCACAAGTTGATGAATTTTACTTTAATTTGCGTTTTGGTAATGTCTGGAAAGTCCACTTTGCACCTTTATACCCTCATATCTTCTTAGTCTTCACCAAGTCATTAGATTATTGGTTTTCGTTGGGTCCCTTTTGTTTGACTAATATGATAACAAGTCCTAAAATGTCTTACTTTTTTAACTTCCTGTATTTTTCAAACAGGTGTACGCGGATCTTGTTTTATTAATTTTACTATTTTCTATATTGTCAAGAAATAAATGATCGAAAGTTTTATTGATCTTATTGGTTTTTTTTTGCTTCAACACTGTCAAACGTAAAAAGACAAGCAACAGAGTCTCCATGTTAGGTAACCTGCCGAAAGCAATCACCTTGAGAAAGCATTCTCTAGTCTCTACAATTTCCCTATAAATACGTGATTTTCCCCTTACCATATGTGCAGCACACTTAATCTTCCCTTCAAAGTAATATATTTCTAAGTAAAATTTCTTCAATGGCTTCTTTTAAGACTGCCATAGTTTTGTTTTTCCTAGTGAGCTTAACTGGAAGCTCCTCAGCTCAACTAACCACTGGCTTTTATTCAAAATCATGTCCTAAGCTCTATGAAACTGTGAAATCTGTAGTGCATTCTGCCATTCAGAAGGAAACCCGTATGGGTGCTTCCCTCCTTCGCCTATTCTTCCACGATTGCTTCGTCAATGTAAGCTTTCTTCTTCATTTTTGGCCATTTTCCATATAGATAATAGTTTAATTCTTTATATCTACTAACACCATCGAGTATATATGTAGTATAAACACGAGTGCGACTAATTTTTATTTGTCAATCTCCTGTTGATGATGTATAGAGACTAGGCACGAAATGTTAATTATAGAGCATTGTATATGACCATTAAGGTTAAAGTATTTTCTGTTGCCAAGTGTCCTAGGATTGATCGTGATATCGTTTGCAAATCTATGTTTGACAAGTTGACTACTAATTTGTTGCTGAGTCTTTATTAGTAGTAGAAGTTGTCTTTTTATGTCTCCAGGCATTTAGAAGGTCTTGGTCTCGATTATATCGATAAGTTAGGTTAGTATACCTAATTGTTAAACTTTGACTTAGGCATACTCAGAATTAATTAATTTGGTCGCGTTTACATTATTTTTTATGCCTTTTGTCTAAATTGGTTAATGCATTTATTTCAGGGATGCGATGGATCATTATTCCTAGATGATACATCAACCTTCACAGGGGAAAAAAGGGCACAACCAAATTTCAATTCCGCCAGAGGATTTGAAGTTATTGACGATATCAAATCTGCCGTTGAAAAAGTGTGCCCTGGGGTCGTCTCTTGCGCTGATATTTTGGCCGTTACTGCTCGAGACTCTGTTGTCATTGTAAGTTCTTTATGTTAACTAAGTACAATAATTTTCATTGTAAACCTCCTTTTGAATTTTATGCTAACGCGAATTATTGTTGTATATAATGTAGCTTGGAGGGCCTAATTGGGATGTAAAACTAGGAAGAAGAGATGCCAGAACAGCAAGCCAAGCTGCTGCAAATAGTAGCATTCCTCCCCCGACTTCAAACCTTAACCGTCTCATCTCTAGCTTCACTGCTGTTGGCCTTTCCACCAAGGATATGGTTGCCTTATCTGGTTCGTTCTCTTCCCCGGCAACTCTTCGAAAATTACCTCTTAAACATAACGAAAAAGGGTCATGTTTGACGGGTAATAGGTTACATCTTTAGGTATGGGTTGGTTAATAAACAGATGCCCTCCACCTGTCCTTTTAAAGGTGGGTCCGGGTTGACCGTTGTAGGTAAAGGTATTTGAGTTTAAAAGGGTAACGATATGGGTAAATAATGTTGAAAAGTATAATATGAGCTAATATGACCTTTTTGCATAACTAGAATAACTTGGTACAATATACTGATAGCTGATAGCGTAAAAAAAATTATATTATAATCGATGTATACAAATTAGGTAAATCCTCTCTAATATATAATTTTGTCGTTATGTTTGTCAGGAGCTCACACCATTGGACAAGCAAGGTGCACAAGTTTCAGGGCACGCATATACAACGAGACCAATAACTTGGATTCATCACTAGCAAAAACAAGGCAAAACAACTGCCCAAGAAACTCAGGTTCAGGGGACAACAACTTGGCACCTCTTGATCTTCAGACTCCTACATATTTCGACAACCATTATTTCATTAACCTTGTAAGCAAAAAGGGTCTACTCCACTCTGATCAGCAGCTCTTCAACGGCGGATCCGCCGATTCAATTGTGAAATCATACAGCGACAACCCCAGCAGTTTCGCCACTGATTTTGTGACTGCCATGATTAAGATGGGTGACAACCGTCCCCTTACTGGATCTAAAGGAGAGATCAGGAAGAATTGCAGGNACAGTTTCGCCGCTGATTTTGTGACTGCCATGATTAAGATGGGTGACATTCGTCCCCTTACTGGATCTAAAGGAGAGATCAGGAAGAATTGCAGGAGGATCAACTAATTTTGCTTCTTTAATTTGCTTATGAAAATCTGTTGATTTGGAATCTTCTATTTCTCAGTGTTCTTTTTATTTTGACCTGTCAAGTTTTAGTTTTGTTTCTTGATTTGTAGGCTTAATGGCTGTCACTCCGTTACAGCTTAAAGTGCCAGTTTTTTCTACACTTGAAATGTGCTATATTTGTGTCGTGTTTGATGTTTATGAATAAAATACCTATTTTTGTTAAAACTTCCATGACAAACTGGACTCAGTAGTCGTTATATTTTTGAGTTTTATGGCAGAGTGCTCAAATATTTTTCTCTCATATGACCATCTCATGTAAGATGTGACATAGGAAAGAGGGAACATGAAGAAAAATCTTAAAAATCTCTACCTTTAGTGGTAAACACCCTGCGCATAAGTAATAGTGGTGTTGTCATAACCCAAACAATATTTTATTTTAATTTTGGATAGAAGTCTCGTGGTGTCGCAAGCTAATTAATTGCCTTATGGTTAAGTATTCATTAATTAGTATAGCCCCTGATTATTTTTGCTTTAAAATCATAACCGCATATTGAGAATTTCTTTTTTAGAAAAACAGAATATGATGTGACGATTGAGATTTTTTCAATCTTAATGATGTGAGCCTAGCTAAAATGAATGCTAAATATATTATTTGTCAGAGACAGTCAATTTTCGAATACCGAATAATTAAACAAAAACTTTACGATAAAAACATGAGGGGGGGCAAAATATGTGGGATGAGATCCCCTCCGGTGAAAAGTTGGTCCAGTATTATTCAATGCATAGACAAATTCATGCCATGTATCCACCAAACTATTTCATGGCTTAGATTCATTTTGTTGTAAACAATTAAAAAAGGTAAGGCAATTTCGAATTAAAAATCATAACAAAATAAAAAACTACCATTTATCTCAACGTGACTGCCATTTTGTCTCATCTCTTAAACACTGTACGATGCAGCATTAGGGCCCATCGTGTGTTTGTGTAACAATAAAAATGTCGAGAATAATTTAAAACAAATGAAAATTAAGGTGGAGAGAATTGAATTTCCACAACGTTTTAGATAAATTTTATAACGACATTGTTTTCTAAAAGCAAAACCTTTACAGTTGTTGAGATCAACACTGTAGCCGTACACAGTGAACTTGTAACAAAAGGTCATAATATTGAGCAATTAAACTATGTCTTTCGTTTATTCGTAGGATTCAACTCAAGTTTGGTACATTTTTAGATATTCCGATTCGATATTTTTGGTATTTTATTTCTTAAATACTATATCAATATCATACATAGCTAAATTTGATGTGGATTGATTTAATCCACTTTTATTTGATTTATTCGACTCAATAACTTCGTTATATTCGATTTAGATAGAGAATGTAACTTTATTTTTTGTTTTAGGAGGTAAAGAATCTTGGATCAAACACTAAATCAAAGTAAGTGCCTTCTAAAAAAAACCTCAATTTTCTAAAAGATGAGTTGAAGCTAGATGAAGCAAGAAAAGTTTATATGTCCGAACTCATAAGTGAAAAGGTTTGAAAACTAAAATTACTAATATAAGAGGAACTCTTGGAATCTCATTATACGAGAGCTTTTGTGTGACGACGCGACTTGTCATTTTAAGAACTAACTCCCCGTTAAGTGACTTAAGGTCTCGATCAGTTTTGTAATATGTATTATGACCCGCGGGTATGGTCGTGTTTGATTTTCGAAAGATTTAAAATTAAATTAAAAGAACAATTCCTATTTAGAACTTAAATGGAAAGAGTTGATCGGAGAGTTGACTTTTGAGCAAACGACCCCGGAATAAAATTTTATGATGTCAATAGCTTCGCATGGTGATTTCGGACTTAGGCGTATGTTCGGATTTGGATTTGGAAGTCCGTAGGATAATTCGACGTATTTTGGCGAAAGTTGGAAAATGGAAGATTTTTGAAAAGTCCGACCGAAGGTTGAATTTTTGATAACGAGGTCAGATTTGATTTCAGAAATTTGAATAGCTCCATTTCGTCATTTATGACTTGTGTGCAAAATTTAAAGTTATTCCGGATTCATTTGATACGTTTCGGTGCAAAATATAGAAG